TATGGAACTCCACAAACAAAGGTGTCACGTGTTACTACGTAACTATTAAATGAAGCAAAAGGATGACATTGATAGATCTCACATGCTGATCACGTGGCCATATAGTGCTGCTATACTGCCCCAATAGAGTGGCGCATGTTAGCCTAGCTTGTGATAAAATCATTCCAAGTCCACACACTACAAATGTAACATATCCACCTAACCATTAATTAGAGATACTATAATAAGTAAAATCTACCTAAAATATATATGTATTGTTTCGAATAATGAAGGGTCTTTTTGGAATGTATGAATCATGTACAATTATGAAATGCACATAATTAACTCTTTGCAAATTTAAATATTTAATTTTTACATTTAAATCTTGTTACAAATTAAAAAAGATGTGAAGAAGATGATCTTAATTTTAAACTTAGACCGTAATAATTAAGGCCCGACACTTCTTTAGTGGTAATTCATTAGCTTATCCCGTTTGTACGTTACAACAAATCTTATGTATAAAAACAATTAATGTTTGTACGTTACAACAAATCTTATGTATAAAAACAATTAATGATATGAAATTCCACTTTCTCCTTATTTTTTGGCTCGGTATTACTTTATTTTTTTCTACTCTCAATTGCATCGATTTGTCCCATGAACTTGAAAAATTGTCTCAATGTGGCCCTTGTTGTTAGTTGTCAGACATTTGACCTTAACACCTTTCGATCTTAGCTCTGAAATTACAAAAGCGACACCTCTCTCAGTTTAAATAATTATTAAAAAACAAAAAATAAAGTAATAAAAAATTCAAGACAACGAGAAAACATAGTCCACAACGCCAGCCACAATTAATTTTTTTTATTATTTTAATAATTATTTAAACTGAGAGGGGTGAGTGGGTTTTTTTGGTAATTTTAAGACTTAGATTAAACGGTGTTAAGGTTAAAGGTCTGAAAACTAGCGGCTAGAGCCACATTGAAACAATTTTTCAAGTAAAAAGGAGGTAAATTGATGAAATCGAGAGTAGAAGAGGGTAACGTGATATCAAACCAAAGTAAAATAGGGAGAAGTGGAATTTACCCTTGTAATTATTATTTTCTTTTTTTGCTCTAACAATTTTCTAATTCATTTATTTTATTCCTTATGTTAATGGAACAATTTTCATTTTTATTTTCCTATTCCCCTTTTTCTGTTAATGACATCTGACATAGTTGAATTTTTTTTTTCCTCTGCGAAAATGCTCAGTACTCAAATGGCAACTCTGTAATTATTTTTTTTAAAAAAAAAATCTCTTTTATATTGATGATTTTTCCATTAACATTTTCTACAAATATACTCACTTGCCTTGCCATGTGTGTAAATTATTATTTTCCTCACTTAAAAAAAAAAGTCAACGCCAGAAACTGACGGCAAAAAAAAAATTAAAAAAAGAAAAAGTTAAAATTAGAATTTTAGTGGTTAAAATTGATTAAATTAATATTAAATTGTGTAACAATTAGGGGCAATTTGCTATAGGTCCTCCTAGAGGTTATATGTGTTAAAATCCATCTAATAAACTCTAATTTCCAGCAAATTTTTGTATTTATAATTTGTCAAAAGTACCCCTATCAATATCCCTAGTAATATACGGTAAAATATATCTTCAAAATCAAATCCCCCATTTCTCTCCCTATTATACTGCAAATCCGAAATTTATAATTGCAAACATCTGGAATTCGATTTCTCCCCTATTTCTTCAAATCGAAAATCTCAGCACGAATTTTGAATCCTTCCATAGGTTTTGGGCAATTGGTCGTTTGCAATTTTAACAGGTCGGTTGCATTTTGTCTTCGTTTTCGATTTGCTGTTCAATATTTGCATTTGTTTCGTTTGTTGTTTACAAATTTGTTTCGATTTGTTTTCGATTGCTGTTTACAGGGTTTGTTGTTTCGAAAATTCCAATTGCAAACATCTGGAATTCGATTTCTCCCCTATTTCTTCAAATTGAAAATCTCACCACGAATTTTGAATCCTTCCATAGGTTTTGGGCAATTGGTCGTTTGCAGTTTTACTTGGTCTTTTGCATTTTGTCTTCGGTTTCGATTTGCTGTACGATATTTGCATATGTTTCGATTGTGGTTTACGAATCTGTTTACCTTTACTGTACAGTGGGGTCCCACCAAATTAGACGAATGCCACAAGACCCCTTCCAAGAAGCCTAAACAGTGCATATTGGTCGTCATATATCGGATTAGATTGGATTAGATGATACTGAATTAGTCATTTACTGATTAATTAAAAATTTAGTTAGCAAGACGTTATGTACAGTTAGATCTTGTATTAAATCTATTAAATTATAGCGTTATGTGTGATTTATCTATAAAATATTATATTTAATAAAATTAACATGGTAGTTTGAAAGATAACTTTTTTTACCATCCCTATTAAATTAGGGATTATTTTGGAGACCTCTCATTTCCAAATTTATAAAATTAACTACCAAGTGGATTATACTCTCGGGGAACCCCCCTCATTTCGAAAAAATTTTGACATACCCCCTC